TGTCTTGCCCTGCCTGGTGTTAACATTATATTGACACATTTCCTCCTCCTGGTGCCTGCATTAATTTCAGGTTCTTTTTCTGAGGATGGAAAACTGACAGAATCCAGTTCAGCTATCATTTGGAAGAGCAGTTTCGGTTTGGCATGTCAGATGTGCTGAAAACGCACAGATGTCCACATCTATTAAACATATTAAACTGGGTTTATATGGCATTTACTGGCCATTGTAGACTCCAGGCCCTGCACAGGCTGCCCACATACAGCTTAAGTAGTGACTGGCAGATGCACTGATTGAAACCATTAGAGATACAGTGACATAAAGGCTGATTCACTACATGATGAGACAACAAAGTGACCACATGACAGGGACTAGAATGAAAACATCTTTGTTCCTGGTCACTTCAGTGGAAATCCTCAAAAGGTGCGTAAATTAAAGTGGGTGTTCCCGCCCCCTTAAAATACCTGTGGTATTCAAAGGTGATTCTAAGAAAACGTCTCCTTTTCCTTAATTTCGCTGTGTACAGGACTTAGACGGATTCCTGGGGGCCTCCGTAGGTGGTCAGCAGCAGCAACGGCAACGGAGGCGGCGGCGTAATCAGCCCCAAATCCGCAGGGATTATTGAAGGGCGGGTCAACACTGGAGGATTACTAAACATCTGCACCGATCAGAGAGACGCTCACACACACACGCGCGCAGATTACTTTCACTTCCACCATGATAGTCCCACAACAAAGTAGACAGGCAAATGAGATCAGCAGAGGGTGAAATTCAGAGAAGGCAATCCCGCCCCGCCGCATCCCGTAACACAGCGTCAGGGCTTTAATGTAATCTGGGAAAAGTTGGGATGCGGAGCGGGATCTGTTTGTTTCTGAGCTCCCGCTCACAGCTCGGGAGCTCAGCAGCTGGGCTGCTGGAGGTTTAACTTGACAAATGCTGAAGTAACCAAGTAAAAAAGAACACACTACTACTTGTACTACTACTACAACTGCTCCCACTCTTATTAACCGCACACTTACCTTTCCTCGCAGAAGTGATATCTCCAATAATTCACGGCCGCAGATTAATCCGTATTTTGTCACTAAACAAAACTGTGCGTACACACATCACTGTCAAGTCTCGGCGACGCTCCCGGCCAAAAATAGATAGCCTCCCCGTCTGAGTTGTGCGCAAAAGACGCTGCTCCCTTCTTTTGTGTTATCACTGCGCTCTTCTCGTCTGTGCGGCACTACTGTGTCTCCATCCCTGCCTCCCTGCCCCTCTCTCTCTGTCTCCCTGTGTCTCTGAGTGTCAGTAGCACGAGTAGCTGACGGTGTGGCGTCTCGCGGGTTGCATATTGGAAAGTGGAAAGCCTCTGTGTGCTGCTCGCTCACTCCGATGCGTCAAGTCTCCCCTCCCTCCCTGCCTGTACTCGAACCGTGCTGGAGCGGAGCGGAGCGGGACGCACGCACACGCGGCGGAGTGGAAAGCCAGAGAAGGAAGAGGAAAGAGAGAGAGACAGAGAGGGAGAGAGAGAGCGCTGTCTTGTCTGTCTCCCCTACCGACCAGCCTCCTCACTGCTTCGGCCATTCAAGTGGAACAGACACCGACCGTCCTCTTCCTCCTCCTCCCCTTACTACTACTACTTTTTTCCTCACCTTCTCCCGCTCTCTTCCTCCTGCTGGGATGTCCAAGGAGTCTGGCTGAATACATCAAAAAGGGATGTTTGTTAATCGCTTGTTATACTCTGGTAAACAGCCCGTGTAATATTTGTTAGAAGCAGTAAACCACGAAGTTTTTGTAACTTTCTTTAAAGTATTGTCTAAATGTTCATAAATGTTATTATTTGGTGTGTGGTGGTCTCATTAAATCCTACATTTGCTGCAAGTGATGTCCTTTGAGTCTGCAGGGTTGAGGGAAAACAATGGCACAGAGCTAATGGTGTAATGGCGTGAAAGAAGTGATCTTTTCAGACTTTATTGACGTTTTTTCAGGTTAAAGGTTACATTAGTGTTCATGTGTATGACCATGCAGTGACATTACTCATCCATGTTGCAACATTCAATAAATACAATAATTCAATAAATACATTCCCACATACATCTGAAAATGGAGATTTATTGCTTTTTGCATTATATATTTAAAATAAAACCCAGAACATATTATTACCTCTTCCCACAGTCTAGAGTCACTCAGGCTAGACTAACACTAACACACTGATCAACACTAAAACAATTTTGTCTTGAAACATGTGCATTTGACTGCTTTTATGGGAGGCCAGACTACTGAGCCTGCTTAGATTCTATCCGGGATGGTGTTTTAGTCTGAAAGAGGAGAAACACAGACTTGATGATGAAAGAAATGATAACATATTCCACCTCATTTGCTTCCTGATTCTGTCTTATCAATCACAAAAATGAAGCCAAGACTTCATAACCCATGTAGCATATTATTATTATTATGTATTATACTATCATGCTCTATTATGGACTTTAATCTGAACTATAGTCATGATCTTTTACACACAAATCTTCAGCATCTATCACTAGTAAGAGTTTTAGGACAATTTCTTGTGAAATGTTCACTTTATTAGGAACACTTGCTGTTCATTAGTTGAAACACAGCCGGACAACGATTTAGGTATTTATACATGTTCAAGAAAACCTGCTGAAATTCAAACTCTGAGTATTTCAGAAACTGCTTATCTACTGGGAATTTCTTGCACAAACATCTCTGGGGTTTGCAGAGACTGTTCTGAAAAGGAGAAAATATCCAGTGAACAGCAGTTATCTGGGTGAAAGTGTGCTGATGCCAGAGGTCAGGCCAGACTGCTTCAACTTGATAGGAAGCCAACAAAAGTATCCAGAAGAGCATCCCTGAACACACAGCGCACTATTCTTTGAAACATTTCATGCCCTCTAATTTTGATGAGCTTATGTGATGAGCTTGTTCTTAGCTGACATGAGTGGCAATCAGTGTGGTTTTTGCTGGTGCAGTCAGAGATGCTCTTCTGTATACCTTGACTCTATTGAGTGGTCATTTGAATAACTGCTGGCTTCAGTGAGAGGAAAGCTTGTTGCCCGCTGGAAAAGAGATAATAATAATAATAACTAATGGGGTATTAATGTATTTTCTCAATATAGGGAAATATAGGGAGGGGAATATTTAAATCAAGCGCACAAACAGATTTACTAACATTCACAATAGGCCCTTTACTGCTACCAACGCACGTCTCATTTTTGGCCTTGATATTGCAGCAGTTATTGCTGCATAGTGAAGGTACGGCATGAGATTTTAGAGAACTCGGAGATGACTTGGAACTTTCAACCTAAAGGAGCCACGCAATACCAGCGACAACAAAACTTCTTTCAACTCTTCAATTTTTGACTTCAGGTTCTTTTCAACATACTGTGGCTTCTGTGGCAGGAATTTCACAGCCTGCACAGTGGGGTTCAAAGTGAAATTGCTAAGGAACAGAGAAAAGTGAGGGCTGACAACATTGACTTTGGACAGCATCCTGAAAATAATCAGATCTTGGAGATGAGATGAGACGTGCAAAGTCTTAATAGCAGCTAATTTTTTCATTTTGATGTTTTGAATTGGTTTGATAGTTTGAAAGTGTTGTTTGTTTTGGTTCCATTTATTTATGTTAATAAACTTTAAAAACACATTTTCTTAAACTTAAATCAAATTGTTAGAATTTCACTACCATGCACAGACCCAACAGTTTTCACTGTGATCTCAAGAACTATGCTTGAACACAACTGCTTTTAGTGGCAGACCTACACAAATTCATGCATTTGATGATACATTAGATATGGACACAAACACACACGACTCACAAAGTTGAATGGTGACATGGTGAGAGGTGTTGGCAAAGGAAATGAGGGAAGTACACAATCGAGTCCGAGAGTACACAAGGAGCTTGAGGCCTGGTCACCACCATAGGTAGCTGACGGACAAGTGAGTGGAGATGGCCAGGACTCCACCTCAGCTGTTCACTCAGACCTTGACAGAAGAGGGAACCCGAGCAGCTCAAGAATTACGAAGGGACGAAAGAGGTGCTCCAGAGGGTGTGGAAGGTGAAGGCAACAGTGGTCTCTGTGGTAATCGGAGCACTTAGGGCATTGCTATGGCATTCCATGTATGACCGCCTGCTGGCATCTTGCTCCTTGTTTTTATGTGTTGGGCTTTCTGAGGGGCATTTTGCCTGCTATGGCTCTGCTGATCTTGTGCTTAGAGCTTGCTCCTGTGCAGCCATGACCAGTGCCTATGTGCAGTCTGTCAGTCCAGCTTTGTCCAGCCATTGGTAGGGCAGATATCAGCCATAGCTTCTATCTGCCTGTGGACATGGTGACATGGACAGGGGTCTGTCTTCTTAGTGCTCTTTGTTTTCAGGTGTTTGCTGCCTGAGGCATTCACCTAGCACATGGTCATTTGTGGCCATCTTCTTTTGTGGACCTTCTTGCTGTGAAATATCAATGTGAAACACTGTGCTACCAAGCTACCTATAGGCTACAATTCCACATAAACACAAGTCCCTATCCTAATGAGGACGCACATATGATTTTTCTCTTTGTATTTATTTATAAGAAATAAGCTGACAACACAAAGCAAAGCTACTTTAAAAACATTAACAGGTAGAGACAGAGGCTGCAGCCTGACTGCTCAGCTGTTTGTTACCTGTTGAAGATCAGAGTGTGGCTTCCGGGCTGGGTTTGCATTTGCTGAGCATTAAAATCTGTCTGTATCCTTGTTTAGGTTGGCGTTAGCATGCTGTCTGTGCAGATGCTGTCTGTGCAGATGCTTGCAAAGAGCTACAGTTGTGTTAGCAGCATATGCAGTTGTTTCTGTCATGAATGCAATTTGCACATGAATAAGAAAAAAAAATTATCAATATCCATGCTGCAGACTGTGCCACTAATTTCCTCCTCCAGCACATGAACTGAAGTCAGCTGACTGAAGTGCAAGTGGAACTGATAAGCAGGATCAATAGGCAAGCAGACCAGCAGTTCCAGAGAAATTAACTACTGGGAACCCATTCCC